CCAGGCACACATGCACACACAAGCACACATGCACACACAAGCACACATGCACACACGTGCACACATGTGCACACAAACACATGTGCACACAAGCACACATGCACATGCATGGGCATGTATACACATATACACACAAACAGCATTTTAAAAATGAAAAACAATCAAACATGGTGGTCTATATACATACCTTTAACCTAACACTCAGGAGGCAGAGGTAGATAGATCGCATGAGTTCAAGGCCAGCCTGGTTAACATATTGAGACCTTGTCCCCCCCCAAAAAAAGCTAATTAAAATAAAAATAATTGTGGCCTCTCAGTTTTTGTTGTTATTGTTGAGACAGATTCTCTTGCAGCCCACATTAGCTTCCATCTACCAAATGTTACAGGCGTGAGCCACTGTGTGTGTGTGTGTGTGTGCCTTCACAGTTTTATGAAGTTCTGGGGCTTCGTACATTCTAGGCAAGCACTCTACCAACTGAGCCACATTCTCAACCCAACTCCCAGGTTAAAAAAAAAAAATCGTGTATCTATGTTTTGCCTGCATGTATGTTTAGGTACCGCCTATGTGCCTGGTGCCCAAGGGGACCAGAAGAGGCAATCAAATCCCCTGTAACTGGTGTTGCAGATGGTTTGAGCCACCATGTGGGTGCTGGGAATTGAAAGCAAACCTTTTGGAATTGCAGCTGGTGCTCTTCTTACCCACCGAGCAATCTCCCCAGCCCAGAACTGTCAGATATTTTTAAGTATAACATGTGCTTCTTCTGGTATGAGATTCAAACAGGTGGGTAAAGATTTGGGATTGTCACCTTATACAGCCACTGATCTACATTAAACAGTAGAATGGCATGATCTGTAATGTACATGTGCTATTATTCTAACAGCTGTGTGGCTGTCCTGTAGAGATTCAGTTGGATGGCGTTAGGAAGGGAAAAGGAAGAAGAGAAAGTATGAACTTGTAAGAAGGAAGAGGTAGTCTGGGAGGAAGTGGAAGGTGGAGGGTCTTCATGTATGAAATTACCAAACATGAACATGCACACACACATTCACACACACACTTACACACACACACTAACACACACACACACACACAGGTGGTTGGAATAAGAACGGCCCTCATAAAGCTCATGTTTGAACATTTGGTTCTGCAAGGATTAGGAGGTGTGTCCTAATTGGAAGAGGTGTGTCACTGGGGATGGGATTTGAGGTTTCAAAAGACTAGTGAAGCCCTGTGGTGGTGGCTTTGCTTGTGGCACATGACTTTAATCCTAGCACTCAGAAGACAGAGGCAGGTGGAACTCTGTGAGTTTGAGGCCAGCCTGGACTACAGAGTGAGTTCCAGGACAGTCAGGACTACACAGAGAAACCCTGAGAAGAAGGAGGAAGAGGAGGAAGGAGAGGAAGAGGAGGAGGAGGGAGAGGAGGAGGGAGAGGAGGAGGAGGGAGAGGAGGAGGAGGAGGGGAAGGAGGAGGAGGAGGGACAGGAGGAGGAGTAAAATGCTGCCATTTTACTCTCCCCAATTGAAATCTTGGTGTAAGTTGCCTTGATCATGGTGTTTTATCACAGCAATAGAAAAGTCACTAAGACACATTCCAAAAACAAAAATAGTGGGCTGAAAGACCACTCAGCTCGTAAAAGCACTTGTACTCTGACAATCTGAATTCAGACCCATGGAATCTGTGGAAAAGCCAGACTCAGCTTGTCTTCTAACTGAACTCCACGGTGTCTACGCCTTCACAAAGGAACGTGTCAACACACACATACAACCAACTCATAAATACATTTAAATATTTTTTAATTAACAAAATGAGATTTGAGGCTGGGTGATGGTGATTCACATCTTTAATCCCAGCACTTGGAAGGCAGAGGGAGGCAGATTTCTGAGTTCGAGGCCAGCCTGGTCTACAGAGCGAGTTCCAGGACAGCCAGGGCTACACAGAGAAACCCTGTCTCAAAACAACAACAACAACCAATTTTTTTTAAAAAGAGATTCGAGTGCTACTTGTGATACCATATGCCTATAATCTCAGCACTTGGGACATGGAAGCCAGAAGATCGGAAGTTCAAGGCCAGCCTCGGCTACATACTGAATTAAATTTGAAGCTAGCCCAAGCTGCATGAGCCACTTTTCAACATGACAAACGAAAAAGATTTAAGAGGTCGACTTGACATGATTCCATGGGGCCCGAAACAGGTGAGAGAGAAGTCTACAGTGGTTGTTTCTTACTTGAGAAGCCAGATCTACAGAGCCATAGAACCTTTCACAGCTGCGTGTCTGGGACAGCGAAGATGATCTGGAGCTGAGAAGAGCCGTCAGGCAGGGCTGGGAGGTGGCTCAGGGGTAAAGCACTTGCCTGGCATGCATGAGGCTTGAAAGACAAGAAATAAGACAATAAAGTATAGGGCACGGCCTGAACCTGCACATAGATAATTAGGCGACACAAGCATAATTAAGATTTTCTACTAATATCTATGTGTACAGAAAGGACCTGTTAGCAGCATGCACTAATATATACCTGCTTGCTGATGTAAGTAAAGGGGTTAACAGTAAAATTAAGAACTAGCAACATGTAAACAAAAATATATATTTTCCCATGGTTTGTATTCTATTAAATCGGGTAAGAAACAAAAAGAACAGACTAACTTCCCCACACTCGTCTCCATTCATAGATTTAAGATTTCAGTGTTGAAGTGAATAGTTTGTTTCTGACCTAGATCTTAAGTTATTTATGCTCAAGAGATGAGAAAAAAAAGCCTCTCATTTGCATAAGGGACAGAATGTCTCTGAGGGGGTGTGACAAAGAATCTTTTTAATTCTCCTGTAAAACACAAAGAACAGAAGACAGGTCTTCTTTTTTTGTATTGTCAAGAAATAGAAATGAATCAAAAAAATCATATTATACTTCATCATGACTCTATAGTATATGCCTTTTCAATTATCATTATCATTATTAGTAATCGAGAGAAGGAGAGGAGGCTTAGCTGATAAAGGCACTTGCCACCAGGGCTGAGGAGGTGAGTTTTGTCCCTGGGATTCCCACGATGAAAGAGAGAATCTACCTGTAGTCATCCTCTGGCCTACACACACACACACACAACACATACCTACATACATCACACACACACACACACACACACACGTGCACACACCCTCAAACACACACCTGCACACATACATACACAAATGAAATCGTTTTCAATTGTGACATTTTCAACAAGCTATTTATCGATCTCATGTTCTCTGTGCCATTTAATTTTTTTTTTTTTTAATGAAGCAGAGTTGGTGTTTGTTCATCACTATCAATTTTAAACACAAGAGTTAAGAGAGAAGTGCTCAGAACGCTATCCGAGCGCACGGGTGCGGGCTTCTCTGAGAGAGCGCTGACATCATTCAGTTCTTGCTCTCGCTGACGTACTTACATGTTGGAAGCAGTCATCTCTAGTCCCTCTGATAGAAAATAACGAAGATGATGGGGGTTGCATTTCCTATGAAATATGCAAGAGGCGAACAAATTATTTGTTTGAGTGTGGGTTATATTGATTTGTTTTTTTCCTTAGAGAAAAGACTTTTACGATAAATTTAAACAAGAAAGGCAGAGAGCTGTGGACGGCAGGCTAGAAGGACTCACGGCCACCATTGTTAGCGCACAACCTGCAGCTGCTATGTTCCCAAGGCCGTCCCTCCCACACCAGCGCCTCGCCAGCCCAGACGGAATGAATGGGCTCCACAGAGCTCGGATACAGTGCTGCAGACAACCAAGACTCTGATACTGAAAGGGAGGCCATCTGTCAAAATCCACACTTTCAGCTTGGTACCCAAACAAATATCTCTTTTCCTCTAAAATTTCATTCTGCAAATTACTGGTGCTCTGTAGCTCGGTGACTCATTGTATAGATCTTCCTTGCTGACAACGGAGTCTTTCTACATAGCAAAAGACTGCCACTGTAATCTATTTCCTAGGGGTGAAAGCAGGCATTTTTTGTCCCACGGGGCAATTGAGCAACAACCACAGTCTCTGGCTGAGAGCGGTAGGGCGAGCAGCAGTTCCCACAGTCAGAAGCCCAGCTGCGGAAGGGGCTATTTACGGAATTCAGGGAACTACATAAAACTGCAGCAGGGCTGGCATTGCACAGTTGTCTGGGGATGAAAACAACATCACAAAATGGTTTCCTTTTATATTATACAACTCTCCTCTTTTTAATTTGGCATCTCGGTTATTTTTTCTTGATGTCACCCCTCCCCCTCAAAAAAAAAAAAGAGCGCTGAAGAACTACAAGCCCACACAAAGAGCTAATTTTTAAACTCCTTACAGTTTCTGAATTCCGTATTAGAAAGGATGGCTCATTTCTAGGGACAAAATAACACAGGCTCTGGGGTTAGGTGGGGGGGAGGCGGGTGCGGAGGGGCGATGGGAGAAAACTACCGCTAAAGAAAGAAAGCTCGCTAGTAAACTATTAAGTACTGCTTTGTATATTATTTCTTTTCTCTTTTTCTTTTTTCTTTCTTTCTTTCTTTTTTTTTTGGTTTTTGAGACAGGATATCACACTATATATCCAGGCTGGGCACAAATTAGCTGCAATCCTCAGCTTCCCAATGCTGGGATTTACAGGCATAAACCACTAAGGCCAGTTATGATGACCTTGAGCTGCGAGCCTTCCTGCCTCCGATTCCCAGGTGCTGTTAAGGTCATAGGTGTGGTCTATTCGTACTGAGCTTCTGAGTTTTGCTCAAATAATAATAATAATTAATAATAATAATACAATAATTGTAAAACTAAACATTTAGCCACGCCCTTTTGACAATCATTCCCATATCTTCTGCTACTTTTTAAAGCAAATAAAGATGTCGAATCCTGACGGAACGTAGTTAAATTTAGTGTACTATACATGAAAAGTTGGAATTTTCCATAAAGAAATCTCAACATAAATTCTGTGATTAAGTGTTGGGGAAAACATCAGGTAAGTTTAACTGCAGTTTAAGGTTTAAGCTACGTATAATCTTCCAACACCAGCTTTCTTTCTTCCCTTTCCACCCCTCCGCAACTCCACCCCATAATGGATGCTGGGCTAGTTGCCTTTGCAAGGCCTTTGTCTGAGGATGCAAAGTCTACGGATGCTAGGGGGAAGGGGTGGGGGAGAGATTACCTCATACCATGTCGCTTGCACCAATCACCACTCTCCTGTCACGGCTTCTCTGGGCAGACAGAGGGGTCTGGACCAACAGGAAAAGGCCCTGGCCCATCCCCATGGTGACCGAGCTCTATATAAGGAGCCGCATCCGCCCAAGTGCCGCAGGTTCTCTTACATCGACCGCCTAAGAGTCGCGCTGTAAGAAGCAACACCTCCTCCTCGCCTCCGCCATCCGCCCAGCAGCCGCGAAGCAGCAACCATGGTGAGCAAGCTTTCCCTGACTCTCGGTGGAGGGTGGGTGTCAGTCACCCCAGATCTGCAAGGAAACGCCTAAGGCTTTTGTCATCTCCGCGGGAAGGGTGGTCTCCAAGTTTAGCTTAGTCCCTCAGTCCCGGCGCCGCAGTGCGGGACACGGAAACGCCCAGACCGGGAAGAACAAAGGAGGCGCCGGCGAGCGATCGCTGGCAGAGCCGGGGACCGCGGGGGACAACCGGGGAAGGGGGGGTGGTGTCGAGGGTCTGCTGCAGTAGGAGGGCAGGGCGGTGGCCGAGCCCGCACTCCAGAAACACCGCCCCACTGGGAAAATGGTCAGTTTGCGTCGGATCCATGGCAGCCGCTGTCAGGGAGGCGCAGGGGCGGGGTTGTTTGTCTCTTGCTTCCGTGGCGTTTTGGGAGGGGTTCGCTCTCACTAAGCCTCTCTCCCGAGCGTTTTTAAAATTTTTTATTAAAAAAAAAAAAAACAAAATAAAAAAACCATTGCGGAACTGTAGTCTTACGAAGATGCTTCCTTTGCAGGACTGTCAAAAATACGATTTACTTTTACGGGGACATCTCGCTGAGGGGGGGAGGGGAGCTGGATGGTTGGGGAATGACAAAGCCCACTTTGTGAAGCCCTGAGCACCCTGATGGTCAGAACCCAGGGAAACGCCCTTCCCCGCCCCCCCCCCCCCCAGACAATGAAAGTTGTCCCTCCAATACAGAAGTGTATCTCTACAGAATGAAATAATAGTGGTATATTACGTGGTATGTAGAGATTCATCGGATACAAATTTACTACTTTTAAATGTTATCTTTTCACTTGTTTTTTAAAAAACTGTTGGCGCTTCTTACGTGCTCTTTGTTTCTAGCTTAGCCTGCTTTAAGAATGTTTCTGTTCCATACAGTGGAAAACCTTCTAAAACAATGGATCTGCTGCTGCAAAGAAAAAATTATAATCTGCACCCAGCCGTCTTTTGTTCTAATATGTGCACTAATTCATTAATTCAGGCAAACAGCCCCAGACAGGGTTAGGAGGGAGCCTGAAAGAGGCACAAAGAGATCACATAGACGGCTGCTGGAAGTAGAGCTTTCTCTGTTAAATAATGTAACAGAGCACAGACTAGCACCAGGCCCAGAGAACGCGGCAATGCAGAAGTCAGACTCTGACTAGCTTGTAGCCTCGCCAGGATATTGATGGGGTCCGCAGAAGGGTGTGGCTCCTGGCCTCAGCCGCACTGCAGATGTCTACGTTGAAATATCAGGTCCTATAAGATGAAACCTTCATCCTTACTTATCAGGAAAAGGAACAATTAATGTAATTACGGATAATTATTATTTCATTTTACAGAATCTATGCTTTGAATATTTTTCAAATAGGAAAATTGTTCTATTCAAGCATGTCTGTGGGAACAATGGGTTTGCATCATGTCTTAAGTAGTATTAAGGTGACATTTAGACCACACCCACTTTCTGTATTTGCAGAGGGTACTGCTCATTGCTCCTGTTATATTAAGGATATGACTCCAAATAAATTTCCACAATATTTGTTTTTTTAGAGCCAATTTAGAAATCTATTAAAATCTAAAATAGAAATACAGCTTAGTATTATAACAGCTTAATTTTTTTATAATTTTTCTTCCTTTCCACAGCGTGAGTGCATCTCCATCCACGTTGGCCAGGCTGGTGTCCAGATCGGCAATGCCTGCTGGGAGCTCTACTGCCTGGAACATGGCATCCAGCCCGATGGCCAGATGCCAAGTGACAAGACCATTGGGGGAGGAGATGACTCCTTCAACACCTTCTTCAGTGAGACAGGGGCTGGCAAGCACGTGCCCCGGGCAGTGTTTGTAGACCTGGAACCCACAGTTATCGGTAAGCTGGCTGGGGGCTCCCTTCCCTGAGGCATTCCTTCTTGGTCACATACTCAGAATCTCTCTGTAGATCCAGAAGGGTGAGTGAGCCTGTGAGGGTCCTTGGTTGGTGGGTGGCTGATGTCTTCCCCTTTTCCAGATGAAGTTCGCACTGGCACCTACCGCCAGCTCTTCCACCCTGAGCAGCTCATCACAGGCAAGGAGGATGCTGCCAATAACTATGCCCGTGGCCACTACACCATTGGCAAGGAGATCATTGACCTTGTCTTGGACAGGATTCGCAAGCTGGTAAATGCCATATATGGATGGGTTTAAAATGGAATGGGAGGGTGCCTCGGTATCTGTCAAAATATGTCAAGTTTTTTCTATCAGGTAGATAGGGTTCCCAACCTAAAGGACTTGCAAATAGTGCTAAGAGTATGCCCTCCTGATAAAACATTACATTTCCTTTTCTCTCACAGGCTGACCAGTGCACGGGTCTCCAGGGCTTCTTGGTTTTCCACAGCTTTGGCGGGGGCACTGGCTCTGGGTTCACCTCCCTGCTGATGGAGCGGCTCTCTGTTGATTACGGAAAGAAGTCCAAGCTGGAGTTCTCCATCTACCCAGCCCCCCAGGTTTCCACTGCTGTGGTTGAGCCCTACAATTCCATCCTCACCACCCACACCACCCTGGAGCACTCTGATTGTGCCTTCATGGTAGACAATGAGGCCATCTATGACATCTGTCGTAGAAACCTCGACATTGAGCGCCCAACCTACACTAACCTAAACAGGCTGATAGGTCAGATTGTGTCTTCTATCACTGCTTCCCTCAGATTTGATGGGGCCCTGAATGTTGATCTGACAGAATTCCAGACCAATCTGGTACCCTACCCTCGCATCCACTTCCCTCTGGCCACCTATGCCCC